CGTCAACCTATTCGTTAAACATCACAAAGAAAAGATGCGTGAGTTTGCTAGATAACGCGGTATTTGTAACCCGATCGATGTTGGGCTTGACAAATGGGGATTGGAGAGACGGATGACGTTAGAGGAGGAGAGCGCAAGGAAGGAGGCAAGGAAGGAGACTAAGGATGGGCATAGAAGGCCTGTTTTAGGCAATGTTGCTAGAGAAAAAAATGAGTAGTATTAAAATATACGACTACCCAAACAAGTAGATAATATATATTAGGTAGCATTGCTAGAGATGCTCTAGGATAAATTCGTTGCCCAGCCTCGCTATACAAGAGCTGAAGAGAAGGCGTGCCACTATTTGTAATTGAAAACTTAGAGCATTTTTCCAACTCACTATGTGATAAGGACATGAGCTCCATGCGTACGACCATGTTTGGAGATAGAGGACGAGGAGATCAGCGAGGGTGTCCTAACCGAGAAGGAGGCCCGAAGCTCATCCGGTTCGAGTCACCATGGTGGAGGCTCAAATTAAGTTCGAGCCCATCTTGGGTTCCAGGACCAGTCTATCATAAAACTAGTCACACATGCTCGTTCGGGCTCTGTTTTCGATGATACACATATGGATGGTAAGCTAATTAGATAACGAAGCCAATGCAAGTGGTCTCACATCAAAAACCTTTTGGAATCAACGGGAATCATCGAAACAAGTCAGCGTCCAGAATCTGCCAGGGTGCTGCGACACCGTCTTTTGGTCCGTTGGACCGTGTATCGTGTTTGGGCCCATTAGGGAGCGCATCCAGGGGGTGACGTCCGACGCTCTATAATTAGTAGCCGTCGCTCTCCTTAGGGTTTGGGTTTTGTTTAGTTCTTGATTTCTTCGTGAAACAGACGTCACAAGTGTGCCGCCAAGGCCGCTTGCTATGAACCAGGGCCCTGGTTCTTGATCTTGTTCGCCTACGGCGATTAGTCCTTTCGAATAAATAGCTAAACTCATTCTCATTATCATAAGCCTCATATTTATTTGCAATTTCAGATTGCGTTCGTCCCGTTCTTGCTTGTGTTCTCGATTCACTTGCAGGAAAGCCTTCTCGGCGAGGTCAATCGCGTTCGCGTGGTTGATAACCAACGGAGCAGTGGTGTAACAGTTGCGAGGGTCCGAATCAGTCTTGGTTCGAAGCCTAGATCGTGAACGTCGAGTCTCCACCAATCGACGCTATCGTACCCTATAAGATATCTGGCCTTATCTACATTAAGTGGTATCAGAGACCTTGTTGCCGTTAGGTATAACTTTGTTTTTCCCCTTTAGATTGTTACTGTTTTTGTATTACCTATAGTCAAAAAAGCCAAAAAAATATATACACTGCCACATATTCCATATCCTACAACCCCTTTGCACCTTGAAATATTTTTAATTTCAATTTGCTTTGTTGAACTGTCGTCCCTCGCATGTCATTGTGTTCGTTGGTTAAATAGTCTTGGTCTAGTGTCCGTCTTTTTTCTGGCTGAACAAAAAAATATATATCTTAGTGATAAAGTTGGTTTGGCCAATAGATTGGTTTGGTGTTTATTTTGATCGATCAGATTTACTACACATCTGATTTACCATCTACACAAGCTGCTGCTGTGTGCGTAAAAATTTAGGACTCCAAATTTCTTGTGGTTGTTCTCGGTACTAGATCCAGAAAAGGAAGGTTTGTTGCCCTTTAGAACACGTCAGAGTAATAATCAACAAGGTGTTTCGTTTGTGGAGTTGCTTTGCTCATGTGTCCAGCCGCCCATATTGGTGCACAAGCCTATGCAGTTTTGATCGATTCATATGGTGGTTACATATTAGAGTCATTTGCGGCACATTCTGTAAAAAAAACAAAGAAACGCAAAAGGCAAAGAGGTGCAAAAAAAAGCCGCAACAAAAGAAAAAGGAAAGAAAAAAAGGAAGGTGAAAAAAAAAATTAGAAGTGCTTGCATCCTGTTTAGTCGTTGTGCTGAGGTATTGTTGCTTGTTGAACTAGGTTCAGGACGAGTCTATGCTGGCGACATAGACTAGCATGGGACTAATTTTCAATCTTGCAATTTCTAAATTAAATTATTGCTATTCCTTACTACTGTATTGTGCTTGTCCAAGCTCCACTTTCTTCTAACGAAGTACATGTTCGCCTTGCAACTGTTACACTCAAGCTACAACGGTATCACAGTCACCGACTGATTGCACCGCCTGTTGCTTTGGTAAGAACATTTGTAAGACCGTGGTAAGACGCTTGAGAGTGTGTGACTTTACTCTTTGACCACATCCTATAGTAGCTGATAGAAAAATACATACTTGTGTGTTTTCTTGTTTGATGCTAACAATGACAGGTTACAACACGTGCCGATATGAGACATCAATGATGCATGAGCCACGCACTATTGTCGCTACACCTCCTCCCGTAGGTCAATCTATTCTTTCTTCCCCGCCTACTTATGATGGTATTGGTGCTGATGAGTATATTGAGTGGGAAACTAAAATAGATATTATTTTTGCACAAAGTTATATGTGCGAACAGAGAAAAATAAAAAATGCAACTAGTGTTTTGAGACAATCTGCATCAACTTGGTAGGAGTCTTTAAGTTTTTCAGATAAACCTCACATATGGAATGATATGAAAGATCTTATAAGAGAAAATTTTGTTAATCCATCTCTTGTAATTAATTCAAATGATGAGGTGCATCAACTAGATCAATCTCTTGTTATTCCTCCTGCTATGCCTAACCTTTTGCAGGACAATGTACAAAAGAGCGAGGATCACGTGACAGAAAATGAGAAGCTCACAGTCTCATGTGAAAATTCAGAACCATCAACTATTACTCCTGCTGAACATGAGAGCAAAGGTAATACCCATGATGCTAAACTCACGGAAGGTGAGAGTTCTCTTAATGTGCTGAATTTTTCCATCAATCATGCTATGATAAAGCAAATTTTAGTGGAGCCTTCGTTTGATTTACCTTTGTCACAAGATGATTTGCTTGATGTTCCTTGTGACGAAGATGACTTTCATGATGATATTTATGTTATACCCATGCAATCATTGAAGAATGATCATGCTTTATGTGTGCTCAAATCGAACACTTGTGCTGAAAATAGACTTGTCATTCATAATGCTAGTGAAGTTGATGAGCTGAAATTGTTGTCTTCTTTAAATACTTTGGGTTACATTGAATTTGATGTTCCGTGTAATCTTAGTTCTTTAGAGGAGAAACTTTATGCATATGTTGATTTGCCATGGTTCTCTAGACATACATATCATGTTTTTGGCAAATATAACAACCAACGACAATATTTGATACAACAAGTTTACATTTGTACAAATCCAAATTCTCCTTTTCTTGTGCAAAGTAATGATCAACTAGAGGACAGTAAAATCAACACTGTTGTTATGTCATATTCCTCTAGTTTTTCTTTTCGAACACAAGTGGAATCCAAAGAAAGGGAGCATATGTTTCTTGTTAGTACTAATCTTTTGCAGGATAGTATTGGCAAAGATCGTGTGTATTTTAATCGAGCAGACTACATGTCTGTAGGACAAGACATGCTATAAACCTGGACATGTGGTCATATTCTTTCTCACAACATTGTCAATTCCTATTATTTTGGAAACCTCGTTTGTCCTCATGTTGTGCAGGATCGACTTCAAGCAAAATCGACGTTGAGGACGGCTTTTCATCAAGAAAGGGAGGATGATAAGGATATGAGCTCAAGCATATGACCATGCTTGGAGATGGAGGACGAGGAGATCAGCGAGGGTGTCCTAACCGAGAAGGAGGCCCGAACCTCATCTGGTTCGAGTCACCAATGTGGAGGTCCAAATCAAGTTTGAGCCCATCTCGGGTTCCAAGATTAGTCTGTCATAAAACTGGTCACACGGGCTTGTCCGGGCTCCGTTTTCGATGATCCACATATGGATGGAAAGCTAATTAGATAAGTAAGCCAATGCAAGTGGTCTCACATCAAAAGCCCATCAGAATCAACGGGAATCATCGAAACAAGTCAGCATACAGAATCTGTCAGGGTGCTGCGACACCGTCTTTTAGTCCGTTGGACCGTGTCTCGTGTTTGGACCCATTAGGGGACGCGTCCAGGGGATGACGTCCAGGGCTCTATAATTAGCAGCCGTCGCTCTTCTTAGGGTTTGTGTTTTGTTTAGTTCTTAATTTTCTCGTGAAACAAACGTCGTTTTGCTGCAACTGTGCCGCCAAGGCCGCTTACTATGAACCAGGACCCCAGTTCTTAATCTTGTTCGCCTGTGGCAATTAGTAAGACATAAACTCCTTGTTATCATAAGCCTCATATTTATTTGTAATTTCAGATTGCATTCATCTCATTCTTGCCTGTGTTCTCAATTCGCTTGCAGGAAAGCCTTCTCAGCGAGGTCAATGGCGTTCGCGTAGTTGATAACCAACGGAGCAGTGGTATAACGGTTACGAGGGTCCAAATTAGTCTTAGTTCGAAACCTAGATCGTGAACGTCGAGTCTCCACCAATCGACGCTATCGTACCTATCGGAAGATCGAGCGTTGTTAGGCTCATCTATGATTCCGTTGGTTGAACCAGGACCTGCGTGGAAAGAAGAGACTGAAATGCCAATCCCTTAGATATCCTAAAATTAGTAGAGCAATACCCAATCCAAACAGGCAATTGGTCTGCCAACTAAAATGAGGGTGTTTATTACAAAATGTACAAGCTGATGCAACCAAGAAAGGCCAATCTCACACTGAACAGTACTGCACAGTTGGTACAGCATGATTCCTCAGCCTTTCATATTTCATATAAATCAGTTCATGTGCACCGGAGCAACTCAATGCAAAAGGGAGACCACTGTTGGTGCAGATTTCACTGCAGTCTCACAGAAAACAGATCAGCTGTTTCTTCATGTACCAAGCGGTGCCGAGAGTGCAGCAGAGCAGCATCAGTCGTCAGTCATCTTGCCACCTGTCCATGTTGTAAAGCTATCCTGTGAAAAATCCTGCAGGCAGAGGTCAAGTTTAGCAAGTACGGGGAGAGATGGAGAACTGATCATGTAACTGATGGTACCGGAACCATACAATTTGGCTCAGTCGAAAGTCATTTGTGTTGTCAAGCTCAAGGTTTGTGTTATCTGTGGGCTCCAACCGCTGGCACTCTTCTAAATCCTTCTTGAAGTCCTCTGCTGACAGGTGGGCATAAGCAGCCAGGCAAGGCTTGGTCACTTTAGGTTCATCTCCACCGCCACAGGAGGTCTGAGACTGACTCAGGAGGAACTCATCACAGAGAGCGAGTCCTTCTGCCAGCTGCTGAGTGTCTAACAGTTCAAATTGGGAATCACCTTCCCACAACTTCGGATCTTGCGATTGGGGATTATCTCCATCCTCTGCTTTTTCAGAGGGTGGGAGGACAACAGTCTCTTCAATGTTTATTTCACAGTTTCTGTTAACCTGCACATTAGGCAGAAAAAATGTATTTTCAATTATCAAAAAACAAGTTAGCAGTATATGTTCTATTTTCTGGTTGAACATACCTATCACCCACAAATGTGCACAACATAGAAAATATAGATAATGTACACAAGAATATTCAGTTACCTGGTAAAGATTCTGCTCAGAATTATGGACAACTTGGATTGTACCAACATGTTTGTCAGCGGGCAATGTAGTAAAATCAGGGAGATCTGCTTCAGCAGCCATTGATTCCAGATCATCCGATGTGGTTACCTGGTAAAGATTATGCTCAGAATTATGGACAACTTGGATTGTACCAACATGTTTGTCAGTGGGCAAAGTAGTAAAATCAGGGAGATCTGCTTCAGCAGCCATTGATTCCAGATCATCCGATGTGGTTAGCTCTTGAGCATTCTTGTCCCCAGGTTTAAACTGTTGCTGAAAAAATAACTTGGAGACGACATATTCACCATCTCTCTCATCCTCTCCAGTGCCTAGGTGGTACTGGTGCATCACCCAATTGGTCTTCTCAGCCTTCCCACCCTTTGCCAGGCTCATATAAAGCACCATTATTTTCTTACAGCCAAGCTGTTTTCCATCAACTAATACTGGCTTTGTCTTGCCTGTCTTGTGCCAACGGACATCAGCATCATCAGTGTTTATCTTTCGACGCTTCCTAGTCCCAGTGTTGTAGGCCTTAAATGTTCTGTGGAAGAAATGTGATACACTTCCATTTTGCTTAACACCTGAAATGGACAGAGATGACTTTTGAGTGTTGAAAAACGAGTGGAGTATCAAAGCAAGAGTGTTCCAACCAGAATGTGAAATGTCTGTTTGAAAGAAGGCAGTAACAATTCAAGAGTTGTACAGGTTGTTAATTGTCGCATAGCGACATGGTGAAAAACTAAATGAAAAGTAAAATAAGCCTTTTTTCCCTATCTGCAGTTTTCCTAGGCTAAATGCAGGCCATAGGGTGTGATCAACAAAAAAGAGTCCCACAGGACAACGAATTACTAACAAAGATAAGCATTTGACAGCAGCTGTAAACTGCAGATTTTCACATTTGATCTTATCTGAAAGTAAAGTAAAAGTTCTTACTTAAGAACCTTAATCATGAAAATCCCATAATCTTTCAGAAAGAAGATAGAAGTACCTGGAAGTTTCTGTGGATGAGTGTAGCAGATGCCTTCATCTTCCTCAACTGTTGGAATAAATTCGTCAATGAACGGATGAGGTTTTATACCAGATTTTCCATGTTTTACCCGTAAGTGCCAGATTAATTCCTGGTCAGACGGATCAAATTTTACACCTTTAGGCAAACCGGGCCACTGGTGAACAACCTGCAGCAAGAACACAGTCATGAGCTGATCACACTTTAATAGAACCTTTCAGACATTGTTTCTTAATGTTGATTTGTAGTAAAAGGAATATTCACAGCTAAAGCCCCATACTGTATATGCAAAAGTCAAAGCATTTCAGAAATAATAGGTCTACTAAACATATAAGTTGGTCATGAGCTGGCTCAAAAGAAAGGCAGTTAAAGTGACAAATACAATTATAACCATAGATATTTATTCCAGTTTTATAAACAAGTTGACCAACTCCTTAAGATATGGAAATTGTTAATCTTTGTCAATTGCTCATATATCATTATTTTTATTTACTCCTAACCATGCTTGATTACAGCGAAATGGAAATGACATATCTAATGGAGGAGTGGAAATATTGTAGCTAGCCCAATTCTACTTCAACATAATAGCATTGCACAACTCTTACATCACTGTTATCGATGACATGGCTGCACTTTGGGCACTCTTTACTTGGGTTGCCGATCCATTTCTGTTTACTGGGATCTGAAGACCCAGAAGCATTTTTTATTTTGGTGGCAAATCTTTGGCTGTCAATTATCCAAGTTGTCCTGTAGAAAATATTGAAAGAAAAAAAATGAAGCGGGGTTGCTGCAGAACACAAACAGCAACGCTAGAATTTCAGTCATTTGTTAACAAATAACCATTGATCATTAACCAATAAAAAAGACAAAAATCAAGGCCACACATTAAATGTACCTAAGCAACGGAGGTGGAGCTACTTTTTTGGCACAGACAACAATTCAATTGCTAGGAGCAAAATTAACTTGCAGTTCCTCAAAATTGTTGTCATAATAATATTGATCAAACATCCTATTTCAAACATTGAAAACCACACTTGCCTCCACTGACTACCATTGCCTAGATGCCTAAAGATAAGTTCAGAATGTATAGCTATTCTAGCCAAACTTCCATCTAAAACAATATTGTTGACCCATGAAGCAAGGGTCCATGACATCCGTAGAAGTCAAATCTAGCAAACACGAACAGTTCATGTCCAGTTTACATGATCTGCTGATCACAGCAGTACAGAACATAAACAAGCTGGTTTTTCCCCACTATATTACCAAGAGAGAAGTGGTTTCTTTAAGAAAACGAGACAACCAGTGACTTCACTATCTTGCAAAGGGGGCTACCAAGTTGCCCATAACCAAGCTATCAATGATGGTCGGTCAGGGAACCTAAGTTTGAACTAAAGACAAAAATCCAGAATAATCAAGCTAGTAGCCATAGTCTACTGTTGAAACAAACATTCAAACATATATCCCTTTGAGTGATACCTGCACTCTTACAAACAGAAGTGGACATACTATAACTGTAATAGAACATATACATATACTTCATTTGTACTGCAGAACACATCCTTATCACTAAAACCAAAGTAAAGAAACCTCATCATTTGTGCAGGACTGCCGTCAACTGCAAAAAAAAGTTGTCGCCACATCCATCCAGCTGAACTGAAGGGCGCAACACTGTTTACTCACCAAATCGATCCCCAACACGACAAATCTTTGACAAGGATGGCGATCCTAACACCTTTATAACATGAAAAGACATCTCCTTTTGACCAAAACCAATGAAAGAAAACAACGCACGTAGGATCCCCCAACCAAATCATCTGTTTTGAGTTTTGACTGTAGCACAACTGCTGCACCCAGTGGAATCGTGCATTCCCCCAAACCACCCCATACTGCAAAAGATTAGCACCGACTGATAACGGATATCAATTCCCCCAACACAAATGCCAAAAGGATGCATCCTCCGTAGCCCCCCGCAGCCCAGCGCTCCCTTTTTCCGACATAAACAGATGACGTTCCTTCCTACGGAGAAACGCGGCGGGACGAGAGAAGACGGTCGAATCGGAGATGGGGGCGCACCCTGTCATGGCCGCGGCAGCGCCTCCCGCCACGGTCGCAGGGTCCTAGGGTTCCGGCGAGCACGCGGCGGCGGCGTGAGAACTGGTTGGAGCAGACAGGGGGAATATGTGGGGGGGGGTTTCAGACTGTCTTTGTTTTTTTGAACGCGGGTTGACTCGACTAGGGGAGACACAACGACCGGGTGAGTCAAGTGCACACGCCCTCGCCGAATCACGAGTTGACACGATCAGACAATTCTTAGCCGTCGGATGGATAATGGTCGGTCCGGATTCATGAAGATTGTGAAGTGGGCCCAGGTGATTTGTCTCTCGATGATTTGCCCGCCTCTCGCTGTGCCATGTGGGGTCATCGTGCATCGTGCAGTTTTGTAATCCATGGGCGCGGCTACGAAGGTGCTGGGCCTTCAGAGCGTCGAAGCTGCAAATTGGGCTAGGATTGATAAAAGATGGGCCAGGCGTGTGGTGAGCTTTCCCTTTCTATAATGGACAAAAGTCCACATTACCTTTCTCTTAACTTTTGCGAAAGTCTACTTTTCCTCATTGAACTCTAAAACCAGGTAAATCACCTCTCTGAACTTTTAAAACCGTTCGTTTTACCTCCTTAGCCGGTTATAAGCGGTTTTCGAAGGCGGTTTTATCTTTTTCTTTTTTATTTATTTTGGCCGAATCTTTGAAAAATCATAGTAAATCACTGAAAAATCATAAAATGGAAAACTCAATTTGGTGGACTCCACATGAGTAGATCTACACAGTGACCATATAATATGATATGTTTTAGTACAAATTTTTCGTTGTAGCTTTAGATCTATGTTTTTGTATAATTAATTCATAGCTGTAGTTTCTATAGTCCAATTGCGGTGAAATTTTTGTGGTGGGCTCATTATTGTATGCTTGAATTGTAGTAAAAATTGTATATTCATTGGATCATGTATAACTTAGTTATAGATTTATTTAGGTGTATGCTTGCTAAAAAATATTTATAAATCATAAATCTATAACTAAGTTATACATGATCCGATGAGTATGAAAATTTTACTATAGTTCAGGCATACAATAATTAGTCCACCATAAAAATTTTACCATAATTAAACCATAGAAACTACAACTATGAATTAATTACAGAAAAGCATAGATCTAAAGCTACAACAAAAAATTTGTGCTAAAGCATACTATATTATATGTTCACTATGTAGATATACTCATGCGGAGTCCAACAAAATTGGATTTTCTATTTTATGATTTTTCTGTGGTTTACTATGATTTTTCAAAGATTCAGCCGAAATAAATAAAAAAGAAAAAGATGAAACCGTCTTTGAAAACCGCTTATAACCGGCCAGGGAGGTAAAACGAACGGTTTTAAAAGTTTAGGGAGCTGGTTTACCTGGTTTTAGAGTTCAAGGAGGAAAAGTAGACTTTCGCAAAAGTTGAGGGAGGTAATGTGGACTTTTTCCTTCTTTAATTGTGTGAAATATGGCTAGACCTTCTTTAACCGGGCCTTAGTAGACGACCCTAATCGCAAAAATATTTAGTCTTGCTATAAATATATAAATATTAATTAAGGAAATGCTGGCGATGGATTTTATTTTTTGGCAAATGGAGTATTAAATGAGTATGTGTCAATTAGATATGCACTGGGATGTCCATGCATACTCCGGCATATCCAGATATGCTAATTTGTACATACTATACTTGGCCATGCTTTGTATAAGGAGAGAGACAAATCTCGATCGAAGCATAGTTTTCATTATTCTAAGCAACGCTGCCATATATGCAGATGATCAAATCTTAGAAAGTCCATTGCAGGCTATTGGCAATTATATTATCTAAAAAGAGAAAATTAGGCTGGGTAAAATTTTATTCCATAACTCGTGCCCCAAATCGGAGTATAAAATCAACGGATGGCCTCAGCCGTAGCCACGATAAGAAACAAAGCCCGGCCCCGAGAGGAAGGCAGCGTGCTTACGTCATTCTTCAAAATGACGAGGAACGGTAATGCAGCGGCGACGACGATCCTGATCGCCGTCCTCGGATGCCTCGCAACCTCCGTCCACTGTAATGCCCTGTATACCAATAGAGTGATTTCTCTATGGCGGATGTGTATGTGTGTTTATATATACTCTGACGCAATAATGCAATCCTTTGATGGATATATATATATAGGTGGTCGAGTGCCTACAGATGTCACCGGCGGAGAGCGCGGGGCGGAGTTGACGTTGCCGCCACCGTTTTGCTACAAGGCGTGTGGCAACGGGCGCTGCGACTTCTGCTGCTGGAGCGAGTACACGCCGACGATGTGCTGGGACACTGAAGCCATGTGCAAGAAGGAGTGCCATCCGCCCATCCGCCCTCCCGTTTGACAGTGTGATCACAACGAGCGTGGATTATATCAGGGAAAAGGAACTCGTCTCTCGTCGCGTCTCGTCATGCATGTATGCAGGATTGCAGGTTCCTTAGCATCAGTCGCGTGCATGCATGTCATTAGATTAGATTTAGTTCACGTGCATTGAACAGCCCGACCGCTGTCATCCCCGTGTAACATGTTGCAAGCTCGTACAATGCTCTCCGAATAAAAGCTAGCAGCATGTTCCCGTTTTGAATGAGCTATATATATGTTTCAATGTTTGTGCGGCTTGCCATGTTGAGCTTTCAGCCGCACCCGCACCAGAACAACTTCTATGCAATTTGCTCTCGTCCTGACGACATGAGGGGCACGACGATCTGGCGATTTCTCATTTAAAGAAACCCACTTAGATTATCTTTTGGGCATCTTATAACTATCTCAAATACCAAATCTCGAAATTTAAAATTTGTAGATCTCATCGATAACTATAACTTTAATATAAAAACAATTTTTATTTGATACCATACAAGAAAAGATATGATTTTAGTACGCTGTAATTATGCTGATAAAACTTTATATTACTTTTTAGCATCTTAACAACCTCAAATGTAAAAACTCTTGCATATCCCATTGAGTGCTATTACTTTCTTTTAAAAAGTATCTTCATTTTATATCATACAAGAAATATATTATTTTTTCTAAGACGACAAGCGCTCATACACGATTATTATGCTGCTAAAATTTTATATTATTTTCTCAAACATCTTAATGACCTTAAGTGAAAAAACTCAAAGCTAGAAAGTTATAGATTTAATCGAGCTTTATAATTTTTATATAAAAATCATCTTCATGTCCAATGTCGTATGGAAAAAATATAATTTTTGTAAGGCTGAGCCTTGTCAAGTGGCTATGACAAAACACTACTGTCGCGCCAACAGGAGTGTCGTGACAAGGTTTACTACGTAGAAGTCATCATCCGACGTGAAATATCTTGCCGCACCAATGCATATAACGTGACATCATGATTTTGTCACGCTAGGTGTGTTGGCGCGACAAAAAGGTCAAAAATAAAAATTTAAAACATGCACGGCTGTTTTCAAAATAAAATTTTAAAAAGGGTAAAATTTTTTAAAAAATGCTAGAATGCAGTACCTCTTTCTTGCTTAGCACTATCTGTGGCCCTCCCCACGATGGCCAAGAAGCGGATTTTATAGGAGAATTTAAGTAGCTGTGACCTCTACATGGAGTACAATGGCTCATCCTAGGGGATTTTACCCTCGTCTATTGCTCCAAGGACAAGAACAACAAGGTCAATCACCGGTGTTCAATTACAACCGACTATAAGAATTACATCTCCAAATTATAAGTTTCACCTGGAGCAATAAAAAAGAAAAACCAATACTAGTCCACACTACTACATAAAATCTTTTGCGCAGCGTTTGCAAATAGGTCTTAATATGCTTCATCGACTTCAAGGGCCCGCGGCTCTTTGCGTCCGGCGTCATCGACTTCACGGGCTCCGGCGTCGTCCACATGGTTGGCAGCATCGCGGGCTTTGGGGGCGCGCTCATCGAGGGCCCCCGCATCAGGCGCTTCGACCACGCCGGCCGCTCGTCGCTCGTGGTGCTCGGCACCTTCCTGCTGTGGTTCAGCTGGTACGGGTTTAACCCCGTCACCACCACCGTCATCGGCAGCGTCGTCGCGCTCACTACGCTGTTCGGGAAGCGGCTCTAGACGGGCCACTGGAACGTGGTGGAAGGTCTGCAACGGCCTCCTTGGCGGGTTCGCGGCCATCACGGCCAGGTGCAGCATGGTTGAGCCGTGGGCGGCCGTCATCTGTGGGTTCGTGTCCGCGTGGGTGCTCATTGGCGCAAATACGCTCGCCGCGCGCCTCAAGTTCGACGACCCGCTGGAAGCGGCGCAGCTGCACGGTGGGTATGGCGCCTGGGGCGCGTTCTCTTCATGGGGCTCTTCGCGAGGCAAAAGTACGTGGAGATCTACGGTGCCGGGAGGCCCTATATGCATGGGCTGTTCATGGGTGGCAGCGCCAGGAAGGAGAAGATGAGGTGGACCATGGCCCCACACGTCAGATGCAGAGCAGCAGCCACATCAGCGTGCAGAGCGGGTTAAGACCCATTTGGACCTAGATGACACCCGATGACAAGTTTGTGGACCCATAGATAGCATTTTAATAGAAGGGGACCTAAATGACACCTCTTGCCAACTTGAAGGACCGCTCATGAATTTTTCTCTTGTGGGGAGGAGGGCAGGGGGCTGAGGAGTACCGTACACGCAATCCTGATCGTCATATTTGAGTAAGTAATGAGAGAATATGGAGAAGCAATTTGGATGATTCATTTGTACGATGTTTTTCTAAGTACACTTTATTATAAAGTATGTGGCGGAGGGCCATCTCAGCAGAGGTGTTTTTTTTTGGGTAGACTTAGCATAGAAAAAGATGATGCTTTAGTAAGGTAGATATTAACTTATATTATGGATGTCATGGTCGTCATAAAATAAATTAGATTTAAATTTTTATAGAAAGCATAAAATGTAAATAGACATACTACATTCTCATAGTCGTTTCGCATGGTAGTTATCTCTCGTTGCAACCCACGACATGTTTTGCTAGTAAAAAAAATAAACGACCCTAATCACAAATACATTT